TGGTCTTAAGACCGGTCTTAAGACCAAGACCAACTTCGAGTACCACAACACTGCGTACAGCAATATACAGAACACAAAAGTCCCATTTAACGTGTCTGAAAAGGGGTAGGAAGAAGCACACTGTGGTAAATGAGCCACACACAGCGTACCATCATACACATATAAAATTCTGTTTGCCATATTAGAAACATCCATTCAACTTTATCTCAGATCTTCGTTACCTGATGAAAATCATCAGTCTGAATTTTTTCTTAAATAAACTTATATTGGGACATTGCTTCAATTGTAGACTGAGTTTACTCCAGATCCTTACACCACTGACTGAAGTGCACATTCTCTTCATGGTTGTCCTGACCATCCTGGTTCTAACGTTAATATTAGAACCAGTAAAACATTTCTGTATGTTATCTGGTAGTTGTTTGTATCTCGCTTAATACATCAACTGAGAATAAAACAAGACTTAAATATTAAAAGAGATTGATCTTAAGTAGCAGAAGTTTCTTTATTGTAAACCAACATTCCATTAAATTAGAGAAAAACTAAATATGCTTTAGGCTAAAACTACTGCAAACCACATATGGGTGGTCTTCACCAATAGCCCATAATTAGGCTATGATGATGAAGAGGATTTTTACATTCCAACCACAGAACATGAAAATACACCTCATAATGTGCACATGAAGAGAGCTTGGTGACCTAGGCTTTAACACACTGAGACAAAGTTGCTGAACTGCTTTTCTAAACATTGAGCATAAAAACCAGAACACAGCAACTGTAGCGCTCCAGCTAGCATGGGACCAGTCTAGTTTTCAGACATCTTTTAAATTGACCCGCCCACCACCACTCCCTGCTTATTAGCTTCATTAATGTCCAGGTAAATGAGTCAATTGAGATGAGAAACCATCCCATCTGAAATATAAAACCACATTCAATTCTTTCTACAGAGTTGAGGTTTGTAATTGTGCATCAATATCGTCAGGGTAGCCCTCAGGGATCGGTGGAACCCAGTCGAGATCAGGCCATCCAAGGGTCTCATTGGCAGTTTGCTCTTCCAGCCATTTTGTTATGGGGTCAAAGTATTTGAGTAATGAGGTGGCATTTATTTCACGTGTGCCTATGGCCTCCTGGAGCATGTCAGGCCAAGGTCTTGAAGAGCCTGCCTCGAGAACTTTCCTAGGGAAAAAGGAACACATATTGCAACACTGAAGTAAAATGTACTCATTTGTGGATAAAAAAAAAAAAGAAAAGAAAAACAGAAACAAAAATTCATTCCTACTTCAGGATGGCTCCAGCTTCTGTAGAACGGTAGATGTCACATGTGTGCAGAGGGCCAGTCTGATTGGCTACCTCACAGAGTTTCTCATGAAACTGAAATCGCAGGATGAAGCTAACAAAGTACCTGCAGGGGAAAGAAGAACTTCAGTAAACAAAAATCCTCCAAGCTCTTTTGCCTCCTCCCTGTGCTCCTACTTCTATCTGCAAATATAAACGGCTTGATCAGAAACCAAAACCAGGAGGGACTCATTGCTGTCGATCACACTTATGTGACGCTCACATCCTCCCCCTGGCTCTTTACTACACTACAGCCAGTTACCCACACTGAAGCCTGCCATGACTACTCACACTAGTTGACCAAGATAGATGAGACCAACAAAGGGAAGAAATCACTGTGTGGCCCAGGACTGTTTTCAGTGAACAAGTTGTGGAAATGATAAAACCAGATGCAATTTTAACACCCATTTGGTTTTTTGTGGAAGTCTAACACCTAGTTTGGGGGAAAAAAAAAAAAAAGCTTCAGATTTCCAATAATGGGGGAAATGAATTATTAGAGAGCTATTAATACATTCTTTACCACCTACTTAATTTTACTTAAGTTAGCATCATATGGGTGGGAGATCTTTTACCTGATGTATGGTGTGTTTCCAGGAACATGGTACTTTGCCCCAGGATCAAAGTGCTCCTCTGTACGCCTGGTAGGAGGGCAAATTCCTTGGTATTTTGTTCTGTGAAGAAATTTAGAAATCACAGAAATAGGTCAACAAGTCAGGCTAAGATCTGGAACCACACAGTCAGAGTGACAACAGAAAAAGTTTCCACAGGTTGTTGTGGCTCAGACTCTCTGTGAAAGTGACTTTGTAAAATACCACCAATCCTAAAATGCAAGTTTTATTTGGTCTCACCTGAGGTTCCACCAAGCAGAGTTGTACTTCTCTGGAGGAGTGTTTCCATTGAACACATCCCATCTCCAGAGGTCAACAAGATAGCCAAAAGGAAGGAAAGCGATAGTCTCCAAAGCAGTCTTCAACAGGAAGTTCAGGTCACTTTCTGGTAAAAAATACAGAATGGTTATTCTGTTTAAGAGTCCATCTGAATTAATGAGAGGATATCTGGTCAGTACCATTGTCAGAGGTCACAGACTCCAGCAGGTTAATCTCATGGAGGTGCTTGGGTGTTGAAACTGACAGGGACATAAGGTCACCGATAGCTTCATGGAAACCAGGGTTGGCTCCATCACGGAAGCCTACAGGCTGATCCTTGTACTGCAGATAATACTGGATGTGGCCCATCTCATGGTGTACAGTGAAGAGGTCTTCCATCGTCACTGTGGTGCACTGCTTAATCCTGCAGGAATGAAACATCGACCAGATTACTGGCATTTGAAGTTGCTTCCCCCACACCCCCAGCAGCTAGTCTTCCAGGTTGCAGAGCAAGTGGGTTAGCCACCATAATGTCACAGGTTAAAAATTTTACCTGAAGTCTCTACGGTTATAAAAGTCCCAGGCAGACGCATGGCATACAACTTCCCGACCTTCAGGCTTAACAAGCATCGACCCTTCCCAGAACTCTGGAGGCATCTCCTTTAGACCCAGAGAGGTGAAGAACTCCTCGGCTACACGGAACATGTGTGTAGCATTGAAGCCCTGCAGAAAATAAATGAACATTTTAAAGACCGTGAGAACTAGCTTTCCCCAACCTCAGTCCTCAATCCACACCTGTCTGACCATCTCATCAGTCACGTCTAGGAAAGGTTTGCCAGGAAATGGGACCATCATCTCATAGAGGTTGTTCCATGACTGAGCCCACATATTTCCTAGTAGGATGAAGACATAGTGGAGAAATCCTGAATTACTGTGAAAGACTAACTGGCACTGATGTAAATATCTTCATAGAGAAGGGTGAATGACCATTAAATGTCTCCATCGTGGCATGGAGCTTCACATGTCTGTTATACATGCATCTTACCCAACAGGTGTGCAGGGATGGGTCCTTTTAGGTTGATATATTTGGGACCATAGAGGTTGTAGAGTTTGCGTCTTACAAAGGCATGCAGGTTCAAGTAGAACGGTTCAATTGTCTTGTAGAGCCTTTCTAAATCCTCCTGAAAGGTTTCCATCTCATACCAAGAGCGCCAAGAAGCTCCAGTGTCATTAAAGCCTGAAAATGATTTTCTTTTTTTAAAGATCCTGTCTGGATTTTTGCTATTTTATTTCAAGCCCATAGTTCTTACCATCCCCTTGAGAGGCTTTGTTACTGAGCTCCACAAACCTGGAATAGTACTCTTTAACAGGCATACCCGATACATTGTGCCAGCTCTCCCAAGCAAAGAGTAGTTTCTTATAGCTTCTGGACTTGGCCAGAATTTCCGAGAGCTCTGAGATAAATGACAGTTACCCGTTAGATAGAAAAGCCAACATGTTTCTGCAATGAGTCAGATAACAGTCAAATGTTTATTTTAATTATGAAACTTTATTGTATAGCTTCCTGCTCATCAAGGGAATAAAAGTCCTAGCAACAAGAAATTAGGTCCAGTTATGTCAGAGCCATGTTATCAGGACTCCAAATATCATTTCAAACAACCAGGTTAAGACAAATGTGAAAGTTGATACATGGCATCTTAAGATACACTGGATTTCTCCTATATTTGCAAAAGTAACTAAACAAACAGATGCATCACTGACAAAAAGGATCTTATTTTAGTTTCTCAGTAATTCTCTGAAGCAGTTTTCCTTCATCTTGTCCATGGAAGTTTCCCCTTCCAAATGCATTAAGCTTGTTTAGCCGACAAAACAGAAGCTCCAGTGATTAGGGCTTAAAAACCATTGTGTCAACATTTCTCCTCTAGTGATTATTTGACACCAAGGCACTTGTGTTTTTAATTTACAAACAAATGATGATGACTTGTTCTCCACTTCCAGCTCAAAAACATAGTATAATAAAATTGCAGTTTATTGATGTTGCTAACAAAAGACACTTGTAAATGTGTGATTACCAGGCTCCAGGTTCCATGTAACATTTGGCAGTGGGTGCACTTTACTTGTTGAATAAATACTCTCCATGGTGTTCAGGATGGTGCTATACTACAAAGAGAAGCAAGTTTATGGGCATTAATAGCTCAGAAGAGATTAAATGTTACTGTAGTAACATTTAGTTACTTTGGTAACTAAATGTTACTACAGTAACTTCATTGTTGTAACATTTACTATAGAAACTAAATGTTACTGTAGTAACATCGTAACTAAATGTTACTGTAGTAACATTTAGTTACTATAGTAACTAAATATAGTAACTGTAGCAACATAAGGGCTACTGTACCTCCACTCGCTCAGCCTGTGGAAGGTTAGCACTACCCAGAAACTTGACACCAGCAAACAGCCTTCTGTCCTTCTCAGAAAGAGATTTAAGTACTTCTTCAGAGAAGATCTGCTTGGCCTTCATTCCCCAGGCTTCTGAAAAATTTTGATACACAAGGCTTGCCGCTACCTAAAAACAAGAGGCACCACAAGTCAATGATGACAGATAGGGAGGTTGAATGAAACGCAGTCAAACTCTAAACAAATGTTTCACATGAACACTTTGAAACTCATGGTTAAGTTAGGGGAAAGTTTGATCTGTGCCATCAGAGCTTTTTAAAGATGTCATCTCTCCTGTTGGGGCAGCAGCATCGGAGCCATCAGTGACTGCTGTGGAGCTTCAAGAGATGATGGTTCAAAGATAAATTTTACATAAAAAAAAAACAAAAACAAAAAAACACCCTATTACCACTATTTCTCCCGCCCAGCCCCCAAACTAAAATACAGTTCAAACAACTTGAATCTGAGCATCTACGATCATTTTGTGCCTCCATTTGTTGGGCTTGATTTTTTTAGACAAAAAGGTTGATGAAAGGTTGGTTTAAACTTTTGTCTAAAAAAATAAATTCTGTGGAATTTTTCCAGAGGCAAGTAGGTTAATCTTTATTAATTATTAAGTAGTTAAATTAAAGGTCACAATTACTCAATTTTTAATGTCAGGTAGATTTAATTTCCTTTGGTGTTTCAGAGTTGTTGACTTTATATTTATTTGTTTAACTTCTGCGCTCTGAGTGTGATGTGAAGTTTGTGTCGTGCGAAGGAAAAATACCTGAGGGGCAACACATCGAATTTATGACATTTAAAAGTTCATTTAAAAAAAATCCACCAAACTATAGGATTGTTCATTATAATGCAACCTGCATTTGACTTTAACTGTCAGTGTTAAATTGACCCAACTAAACTAAGTGCAAATCGTTACCTTTTCTTTTTTTAATTTTAAATGGAGTGTAGAGTAGTGAATTCTATAGGTTAAAAAAGTATCACAAAGTGTCTCAAGTTAATATTGTATGTTTTATTTCTCCATAATTGATGGAACAGAGTGGTTTGATGGCTTTTATCTAAAAAAAAATAAAATTAAATAAAATTTAAAAAAATCACACTACCATGTTCTACCTGCAGCCTGGAGTTTAATTCCGTCAAGTTGGTGTTGTAGTTCCAGCTGGCGGACGTGATGTTAAAGAAGACCTCCTCTGCAGTGATGTTGTAGTCACTGAGGAACCTCAAGGCATCCGAGGCTGTGTCCGCATAGTCCCCTGGCGTCCAGCGGACAGACCGAGCTTCAGACAGCAACAAGACGGACAGCAGCGGCAGCCAGGCTGATTTTACCAACCTGTGGACGCCAGGAGCCATGTTGGCCAGGGCAGGAAGAGAGGAGGGACAACTGGCGCATATGAGGAATGAAGCGCCTTCTGCTCCTCAGAAGCCACAGAGCTTTATTTAAAGTAGCACGCTATAACCCCACCCACAGTTTGGTTCAGCCCTCCCTCCAAACACCAGAGAACTGAAAAGAATTTACCCTCCAATCAGAGGCTGAGAAGAAGTGGCGGGTGATTCTGATTACCTGTCATATTTCCAAGTGAACCCCTCCCTCCCTTCAGCTCCAGATCCATTCGGTCGTGTTGAGCAGAGGCGCTAGGGGGCGCTGTAGCTGCTCCTGGAGAAGTCATAATACAACCAATAAATTATCGATTATTATTTTCTTTTTCTAATATCAACTAATATTCTTTAATATTTGGTTGTTGTGATATATTCCTCGCAAAACACAGCTCCTAAAAAAAGCAGTGATTATATGTTGAGTGAAAAAAAATCGCATCTCGCTACAAAAAAATTTACTTGTGCCTATTTTTTACTTCCAGTAAATAATAAAAATGAGCATGTAATCCAAATGGATCATTTTCTGTTACTCAAATATCCAACGATGGCAGCAGCAGCTCAAAGGGAAACTATGGATAAAACAGGAGAGATCACATTTCAAATATTTAAAACAAAATACTAATAAATAATTATTGATACTGACTGATATGAAATGCTTATGTCCTGTCCTTTTCAACCACATATGTTTTAATTAAACAGAATATCAATATCCACCATATTGGTGACCTTAGATGTCTGAGTTCTGGATTATCCTCTGTTCTGTTTCTGTGTGGGAATTAATAATCCTTCATATCACCCTCTGTTAAATGCTTAATCCTGCATTTTAAACTCAGAAATGTTAAGATCTCTGAAATGTTCAAGAAGAAAACAAAAACATTT